ATATGTATTAGATAGCACACATACCTGTTGGCTAATTTGAATTTTATTAGTGTTTCATAAGTCACGGTGCTCTACGATTATTGAAAAGACGCACACCGAAATATTTATTGTAACAAGCTTCCGCGATGAGTGTTTGCAATCAATTTTAAACACATAATTTCAACAAAATATTATATTAATTCTATGATACTATGCAAGCGCAAACAAATGGGGAAATTTCACACGACAATGCACCTTAGTCCAGTTGCCGAGTAGGGAAATTTGACTGAACGTTGCAATCAGGTATATACAAGGTTTTTTTGCGGTTTCCTGATCTTTAGACTATCTTGAACCAGAATCCACCGGGTGCCACTTTGGCACAATTGGGCAATTTTTTTATCACAAAAAATGCACATCGTATATTTTCCCATCTGAGTGCTTATAAATTAAGGGGGTAGGCACGCTAAACTTGCAATAACTTCTGTAATATTCGGTCAATCTTAATATATTTGGTATTGTTTTGTTTAGTAAACACTCATGCACAATCCTCGATTAATTACACCCACAACATACGACCATCAGAAGCCACATATGATGAAGTGTTGCGATTCAGAAAGTCAGTAGGCAAATACATTGGAGAGAAAGACTTACCTGCAAGAGGTTTCTCAGATGTAAGTGGTCATGTGAGTGCATGGTTTGAAAATTACGACCTGAATATCTGTAGTCCTAATGGTATGCGTGAAACACATGCAATGGCATCTCAGTTTATGCAACAACCGCCCACTACTGCTGTAACTTTCCTGACAAAGCCTGAAGCTGCCCCTATGATTATACCAAGAATAAACAAGTTGGACATGAGTAATCTGAAGTTAGGGGAGCTGGCAGCAGTGCAAATGAAGCATTACCAGGGCCCAAAGAAACCTATACCTCCAGTGATGGACGTTCACGTTGGCCCACCACTGGAAGATATTGTAAATCAAGCGAAGAGTGTAGAATCAGCTCTGGAGTCTGATGTAGCACAGTGATAAAAAATGAACACGAAGGAAAATCTGCAGTAGCGTGGTCAGGACACATGTTAAGCTTGGTTGGCAGAGCAGAAAACCTTACCTAAACCACCCACTAAGTACATATTCGAGCCACTGATAGATGCACCACCTGCTCACACAGACACTGTCTTAACAACGATGTTGAACACAGAACGATTCATCCAACAACATGGAAGCACTTTTACCCATTTGGTTGCCGATATGCAGCTTTATAAAGTCGTCATGCAGTTCAGATGGGCGCAGCCAGATAGATGGCAAAACCTGGTAGTGCGCCCAGGAGGTATGCACTTGTTGATATTCTTTATCAGCTGCATTGGTATGCTCATGAAAGGGTCTGGGCTGGAATACCTCCTCAAGTCTGGTTTCGGTAGTGTGAATATTTGANTTAAAGTACTTTTTCAAGGACTCCCCTTAAATTCAAGGACTTTTCAAGGACTGTGCGAACTATGCAAAGCCACACTTGTGTTTGATCTCTCGCGTCGCCAGCAGCTCCTGCAGCTGCGAGACGTCGGTACGGAGGCTGCGCACGGTGCATCGCAGCAGCTCCGCCTCCTTGCCGCACGCGGCCGACCGCAGCTGGGCTTCCTCGCACCGCTTCACCTGCAGAAGAAACACGTCAACGCTGGCTTCAGGACATAGGTGTTGGACATTAATATTGCATGGCATTGCGTGACATTGCATGACATTGCATGACATTGCATGACATTGCATGGCATTGCATGGCATTGCGTGACATTGCATGACATTAGTGTTGGACATTCAGGCGTTCTAGCAGCAAACGTTTAATCTGGGAGTTTTCCATTATTGGCTATTATTGCATTTAGCTTCAGAACCAGTTGGCAGAGAGACACTGCGCATGAGTGCTAGGCATCGCTTATTCAAGGCACTCACTACTTGACTCACGGCCTGAAAACTAAGCAATTATGGAATTATTCTATTAGTTCTAAAATGGGTTGACCTATGGGGGGATCGAGACACGATGACATTGTCTGTCAGGCATGCACTCACCACATCGGCCTGTCTGCTGGCGTGCTGGCTCTCTAGTGACGTCACGGACGCCTCCATCTTCCTGATGGCCTCTCTCTGGCGGCGCTCCCCCTCTCGCGAACTCTCCGTCTGCCTCCTCGCCTCCTCCAGTTCCACCTAGGGGGACGGAGAGCCAACCCGATTACATACACGACGCTGCGTCCCGTCAAACCGATGCTACGTCAAACCCAACAACAGACTGCAAACAAAAGCGAGAGAGAGAGTGAAAGAGACAGAAAGAGGGGCGAGAGGAGAAGACAGAAAGGAGAGCAGAGAGAGAGAGAGACGAGGAGAGGAGAAGGAGAGGACGAGAGAGAGAGAGCTAAGCGGGAGGAAAAAGAGTGATAGAGAGAGAGAGAGAGAAAAAAAAAGAGAGAATACAGAGAGAGAGAGAGAGGAGAGAGAGAGAGAGAGAGAGAGTGTGAGAAACAGAAATAGCGAGTGAGAGAACGTGAGCGGATGACGCGTGACAACCAGACCTACCCTCAGGTTACCGATGATCTTCTGTAGCTGCAGCTTGGCGTCGTGTTCGCGGTTCACGGCCATCTTGAGTCGACTCGTCACTTCCACCGCCGCGTCCTGCATCGTAAGATCCTCACAGACTGCCGAGTCAAAAACAAGCGCATTATCACGCGCGGCCAGGGGGCGCCGCTGCGGCAAGGATTGAAATGTTGTGGACAGCTAGATGGCGCCGCTGCGGCAACAAATCAAAATGTTGCATGCAGCTAGAAGGCGCCACTGCGACAAGAATCGAAATGTCGCATACAGCAAGAGGGCGCCGCTGCGGCGACAATCAAAATGTCGCGAGCAGCTAGAGGGTGCTGTTGTGGGGAGAATCAAAATGTTACACACAGCTAGGGGCGCTGTTGTGTCGAGAATTGAAATGAGTGTGCAACCAGTATGTGGTCGAGCTCAAATAAAAACGGCGGGACCCGTCCGTGTGATTCTCGTGTCTTTGAATGGACAAGCTGACCTTTCGTTTCGTACGAATGCAGCTGTTGGGCCGCGCTTGTCGTCGCTCCTTCTGCCTCCCAGCGTCTCTGCCGCTCCTGTTCCAGATCCCTGAGCAAGGTTTGCTGCGAAATGTGCGACCAGTGATACTTAACATAGTTACATAATGATTATATACATAGTACATAATCTACATCTAGGTACAATTACACACAGGAGAGTAGAACACGAAGGAGTAGGTGAACTTCAAAGAATTAAAAGAACATCAGAACTAACCAACTTGTAACAATGATTACGGCAGAAGTTTTCCGGTAAAATTCGTTAAAGTAAACGCCGGTTATTCTCTAACAAGAGCCGCAGAGCGTCTGGGCTTATCTGAGGTCTGTTGCTACGATTATAAACGTAAAAATATTCAGTCCGTGCGGTAGCGTACCACATTTTGTTGAGGCGCCGGATATGGCAGACACGCAGTTGCGTACACAGTCATCTGAGGTGTAGGACACGCACTAACGAGGAGTAGGGGGAGGTGGGCGGAGGGGTGGGGGAGGGTGGGGAAGGCCGGGGGGGAGGGGAGCGGGGGATGGGTGTGGAGGGGAAGGGGGGGAGGGGCCTCTAATTAGCAAAAGCGTTACCCCCTTTGATTAACCAGTCCAACAAAATCCATGTTTAACCCTCCTCTTGAGCGGGTCAAAGGTTATCAGACAGCTTCGCTCGTTCACAAGCGTCAGTGGAGAAGCACATTTCATGGTCCGTTTCAATAGAAGGGCCATAAAAGTGCGTAGGCTCACCGCTGAAAGAAAAAAGTTTATCAATCGCTCCGTCAGAACCATGTCTCAGATGAATAATGTCTGAAAATCTTGCCCTGTGCGCTATTGACCCTTGACACTGTTGACCTCCAATTTTGGGCGGACAGTGGAGTGCTTTTCCTGACCGAAGTGGCGATCCCACCGCACTATCACGAGCCTAGGTCGAGGCCGGTTTTAGATTTTTGCGCATTCTGCCTTTCCTCCTATAGCTAAGTTAAGGAGTGATATGTTTCCCCCTGTCTTTTACACCTCTTGACGCTTTGACTTTGACCCCCCAGCTTCGACATCCGCACTCGGTTTTCGATTGACCCCCACGCCCGATATGGTGACCGTGACGCGTCGAAGCGTTAAGATGTTGTGCCCAACTGTTGACGGACGGGACGCACGCACGGTACGGACGCACGACGATCATGCGATATCTACAAGCTGGCATCTTGACTATGTCAGATGCGCTAAAAACGCAAATCGGCTGGCCTGAAACACGAACTAAACCACGGTTTTCATCTGCGGAAAATAAGTATGAGAAACTGAGCTGATTGCGACGGGACCTTCTGTCCACATGCGGATAAGAGAAACTTGTGAACTTTACCATTATTCTATCGACGGTCAGTTCTGACAAGTCAGTACGGACAGTCGGTTTGAATCGTGTTTATAAAAATAAATAATTCAAACAAAACAATTCGAAAAATGCACTCGCCATATGGTAGACTTTTAGATTAATATGCTTTGGTAGAGAAATTCAAAATCAAGTAGAAACTGAGTAAACAGCTAAACTTAACAGTATCAGCACAAAGGATCAAATTCATGGTACAAAGCACAAAGTTGAAGGGTCACGGTACAAGCACTAGGTTGACAACGGTCAAGCGTGTACAAGCAGCGGATTGAAGGTCACGGTACAACAGCACGGGTTGAGGTCCACGGTACAAACGGGGTGAAGGTCACGGTACAAGCACGGAGGTTGAAGGTCACGGTACAAGCACGGGGTTGAAGGTCACGGTACAAGCACAGGGTTGAAGGTCACGGTACAAGCACTAGGTTCAAGTCGCTGAAGCTTGTGTCAGTGCTTGACTTTATCTTCTAGTAACTTCTTGCTTGCAGTTGTTTCCTTCAGAAGCTCTCTCATTTCCTCTTCCACCTCTGCTACCTAATAGTGGTCACAAATACAACACATACATAGAAATATTAAACATCTAATGTATACATGTATATGTGTAATGATATTAATATTAATAATAATATTAATAGAAACAAAAAAAATTTGTTTGTTTACCAAAGGAAAAACAAAAAAAAAAAAAAAAAAAACAAAAAAAAAAAAAAAAAAAATAAAAAAAAAAAAAAAAAAAAAGAAGAAAAAAAAAAAAAAAAAAGAAAAAAAAAAAAAAAAAAAAAAAAAAAAAAAAAAAAAAAAAAAAAATTTTTTGTTGTAATGTATACATGTATTTATAATGTACATATCATACGTGGCATAATTAGTCCTGCCGTAAATAACGTAAATAATTAATTATCGCACAAAGATGGATCTAATTAAATCGAAACAAGCTGAATCCGACTCATCGTCCAACTTTGCGAATGGCATCGATCGCTCACCCTATCCTGCGCTCTGCCCAGTTCTTTCCTCAGCTCGACTGACTGCGTCGCCATTTGCAACTGGTGCTGCTGCCTGGTGGCAAGGGACTCCTCTTGAAACAACTCATCAGCTTTTCTCAGCTTCTCAGTGGCAATGCTGCAAAGTCAAGCGAATGAATTGATACGTCGCATCAACTCTCACGCCACGACGACAGACGCAGTCGCAATCGTAACATAGCAAATTATGCATTTATTATCTTTTTTATCTTTATTAACTTTATTATTTATATATTGATTTATTATTAACATTACTTATAACAATAAAAATAAGTGTAATGATAATAAAAGGAGAGACATAATATAGACACGCACACACACGTACGCACGCACGCATGCAGGCAGGCACGCACGCACGCACGCATGCAGGTATACTATGTAACATCAGAGAACAACATTACACAGCTTCCCAACGCCCTATCGCCTCCCGCCTTCCACATCGCCGTAACCCGCCTTCCCGCCGCGCGCACGGACCGGACACGTGGCTCCCCCTGGCTCACCGCGCGGCGTCGGCGGCGCGGTCGCGTTCCTGCGTGAGCGTCTCCTCCTTCCTCTGCCAGGCTTCCTTCATGTCCCTCACCTGTCCCTCCAGCGAGCCGATAAACTCAGCCTTCCTCTCCCACTGACTCTTCACGAGCCTAACGAATAATAATAATAATAATATTAATATTAATGATTATAACAATAATAACAACAACAAAAACAACAACAATAATAATAAAAACAATAATATAAAATAATGCTACTACTACTACTACTAATAATAACTGCTCACACTGGCTACCTACAGAGAACCTCATGCCACAGTAACCGCATTGCCTTGGTCTCTACATCTTGCTACACTCTGTCACTCACTCTTTGCCCGACTAGATTTAACAGGGGTGAGGCATGCAGCCCTACCCCACATCTCCAGCGTCACGTGCTATCGCGTGCTAGCAGCTATTGGCTTCCTACCCGAGCGAGTGTCTAGCATCGTCTAGCTCCATCTGTAGGTCGGCCGCCCGCTGCTTCAGCTGCTCCTTGCGATCGCAGAGTCGCTCACGTTGCTCCTGTACCCCGGCACCTAATGGCTGTTTATTTATTGTTATTATTATATTTATTTATTGTTATTATTAGCTGATGATCCATAGCTGTGCTCTTACTATTGCTGATAGCATGCCCATGTGTTTCGTTCCATGTCTTCGTGTTTCATTCCATGTCTTCATGTTACATTCCACGTCTTCATGTTATGTTCCATCTCTTCACGTTACGTTCCATGTCTTCACGTTACGTTCCATGTCTTCATGTTACGTTCCATGTCTTCGTGTTTCGTTCCATGTTTTCACGTTACATTCCATGTCAACAATAAATAAACAGCCATTAGAACAGCTTTCTCGAACCATGGATCTGCTAGCAGAGTTAGTAATATAATATATTAATAATAATGATAATAGTAATGGTAATAATAATAATAATAATATAATAATTAGAATATAAATGTGGCACGACACGTGGAGCGAAACACGAAGACATGGAACGAAACACGCGGCCACACTATCATGGACTACAAGAGCACAGTTATCTCGAACCATGTATTGGCTAATCGGAATAATAATAATAACAAGAGCCGCAGAGCGTCTGGGCTCATCTGAGGTCTGTTGCTACGATTATAAACGTAAAATTTCAGTCGTATGCGTAGTACCCTCGGAAACATTTGTTAGGCGGCAGATATGCAGACACCAACCAAAAAGCAACGATGGGCTGCGAAGACAGCAATACCACAGTTGCGTACATCATCATTGTTAGGACAACGCCCACTATCGCAGATAGAAGGTAGGGGAGGGTGGGGGGGGCGGGGGGAATTGCGGTGGGGGAAGGGGTGGGGGAGAGGGGGGCTGCGGCGGATGGCGGGGAAGGGGGAGGGTGGGGGAGGGGGGCTCTAAGTCAAATATAAGCAAAAGCAGTTCACTCCTTTGTTAACAGTTAACAAATCCATGTTTAACGCCTCCGTCTGAGGGTCAATAAGGTTATCAGACAACACTTACTCTTCACACGTCAGTGAAAGCACATTTCATGGTCCTTTGTCAATAAAGCCATAAAAAATGGTAGGTAGCGCGCTGAGACAAAAAATTTCAAATTGGCTCCGTCAAGACGCATGTCCTCAAGAAAATGTAAAATCTGCCTGTGCCCATGTGACCTTTGACCTGTTGACGCGTCCATTTTGCACAGTGCATGCTTCTCCTACCATGATCCTATTTACTCGACCTATCACAGAAGCCTAGGTTCATGCCGTTTAGATTGCGGGCGCCGCACATTCTGGCATTTCCTCCTTAATACCTTTAAGTAAGGAGTGAATGTCCCCCCTCACGTTATTTTAACACGCTCTTGATTCCTTTGACCTTTGACCGATCCCCCAGCGTTCGACACACAACTCGTTTTCGGATTACCCTACTTCTCCCACGTCCCGAATATCGTGAACCCGTACGTCGGCGTTAAAGAATTTGTGCCCCAACTGTTGACGCTACGCACGGGTACGGACGACGGACGGCACGACGGACGATCAGCGAATTTCTACAAGCTGCATCTGACTATGTCAGATGAGCTAACAATAATAATAATAATAATAATAATAATAATAATAATAATAATAGTACTGTTGCTGCTGCCACCACAAACCTGCAGCTGAGCGTTCGCGGTTCTCTCGTTGTTCAGAAGCTCGGCATGTTCCCGTTGTTCCTCCAGCAGTTGTTCCTGACAGGCCTTCACTGCATCCTCCTTCTCTGCTGCCACCTGCAAACATAAATAATCGATAAATCAATCGCAAATTTGAACGTAATCTAAAATAATCACCCACATCATAAATTCATTCTCTGGCAAGAAGAAAAATCGACAGTCTAGCATGAAAAAGTCCCGCGGAAAAGCCGGCAAGACTAACAATAATAATGAAAAAATTAAAAAACGCATTATGTGGCGTAATACAAGACTGGATACAAGTAAGATGGAGTTGATGTCTATCGAATCCCTAGCTACCGCCTCCCAGGTTGCGCAACCCCTCGCCCCAACGCGCGACCCCTCGCCCCAGCCCCCGCCCCCACGCGCGACCCCTCGCCACCGCCACCGTCCCCACGCGCGTTTACTCACGGCTCGCAGACGACGCACGGAGTCAGAGAGGTCGTCGATGATCTTGGATTTGACCTTGACCTCGTCCTCGCCTCGCCTGACCCGGTCGCCGAGCGCGTCACGCTCCGTCGTCAACGCCTCGACCTGCAGCTCCAAGCGCCCTCTATCCTGAACGAGCGAGATACCTGACGTACGGGGGAACGTCGCAGTGAGAGTCGTGATGTGAACAAACAGAACCTGTCTAACTATGGATGGATCCATCCATCCATCCATCCATATCCATCCATCCATCCATCCATCCGGATGGACAGGCGGTCTGGCGGGCGGACGGATGTGTGGATGGATGAATAGAAACATAGGCAGACGGAAAGACTGACAGATATATAGATAGCTCAAAAAGTCAGCCAGACAGACAGACAGACATACGGAGGAAGGGATGGACGTACAAACACACACACGCGTGTGCACACACGCACGCACGCACGCACGCACACACACACCGTGCTCACCTTGTTCGGTCAGCTGACGACTCCACAGCTGCTTCTCCGTCTTCAGTCCCTTGACGAGCGACGCGTGCGCGGCGAGGCTTCCCTGGAGATGCTCCACCTTCTCCCTCAGCTTCTCCCCCTCCTCCCTGCCCGCCGCCGCCTCCTTCTCCCTCCCCTCCAGCAGCCTGGAGGCGAGACGGGAGCCGAGAAGGAAACGACCGGGTTTTCGCCGCGAGCGTAGACCGCCGATGTGAAGTAAAGTGAAACGACGGAGAGATTAGGATGAGGTATCAGATATAGGAGTGATTAGCGCACACGCTCATCTCCTCAGATCCAACTAGTTTTCACCGCGAATGTAAATCAACAACGAATCGTGGGGGAGACAATATATATATATATATATAGTATCAAGAGCTAATAAACTATTATTGTATTATTTTGTTTTATTATTTGTATTGTTTACTATTTGTATTGTATTGTTTATTTTGTTTTATTATTTTTGTTTTATTATGTGTATTGTATTGTTTATATTGTTTTATTATTTTTGTTTTATTATTTGTAATGTTTATTATTTGTATCGTATTGTTTATTATTTTTGTATTATTATTTGTATTGTTTATTCTATTATTGTATTATGCTATAAACTATTACTGTATTATTATCTCTTGATGAGATGTTATTCTCGTAACGGTCACACCTATAGTAACGATGCTTCTGACAACGGACCCCCAGCCCTCCCCGCTCCCCCTCCCGCCAAGCCCCTCCCACCGTGGACCAGCCCCGCTGCACGTACCCGCACTTCTCCTTCAACTCGGCAGCGAGTGTGACCTTGGCGGAGGACAGATCCGCCATCTTGTCCTTCAACTCCCTCACGAGGGTAGTAAGGTCGGCGATGAGACGCCGCGAGACACCGTCCCTTTCCCGCGCGACGACGCGCGCCCGCGCCTCCTCTCCCGCCGCGCGGAGCCTCTCCTCGAGCTGCGGAAAGGAAGCCGGCGCTGAGTTTCCCCCCGAGAGTCGACGGTGCTGCCATCTGCGGTCGGATTTCCGCATCGATCGAGCGAATGGCGACGATGTTAATGCCGAAACGGGGGATGAATGGATGGATGGATGGGTGNGAATAGAAACATAAGCAGACGGAAAGTCTGACAGATATATAGATAGCTAAAAAAGACAGTCAGCCGGACAGACAGACAGACAGACATACAGATGGAGGGACGGACGTACAAACACACACACGCACGCACGCACGCACGCACGCACACATACACACCGTGCTCACTTTGTTCGGCCAGCTGCCGACTCCACAGCTGCTTCTCCGTCTTCAGTCCCTCGACGAGCGACGCGTGCGCGGCGAGGCTTCCCTGGAGATGCTCCACCTTCTCCCTCAGCTTCTCCCCCTCCTCCCTGCCCACCGCCGCCTCCTTCTCCCTCCCTTCCAGCAGCCTGGAGGCGAGATGGGAGCCGAGAAGGAAACGACCGGGTTTTTGCCGCGAGCGTAGACCGCCGATGTGAAGTAAAGTGAAACGACGGAGAGATTAGGATGAGGTATAAGGTATACGAGTGATTAGCGCACACGCTCATCTCCTCAGATCCAACTAGTTTTCACCGCGAATGTAAATCAACAACGGATCGTGGGGGAGATTGTGACGAGGTAAAAACACCCACTCACACAGGGTGCACTGATATCCCTAGATCTCTCTCTCTCTCTCTCTCTCTCTCTCTCTCACACTCACACAGTGTGCACTGATATCACTA